ATCGAGCGAACCTGTACACGGCGTTCATGCACTTCCGGAATTCGAGCGCGTTCTTCCACCCTAGATCGGAGTACAACTTGCGATAGGCCGCCGAGGTCAGGACGTCGCTCGCCCTGAGTACCGTCTCCTCCCCTTTCTTATCTCTGACTACCGGTTCGCCGAAATAAAACGCACCCGATTCGCCGGGTTGCAAAGGAAGCAGCCTCTCTCTCGCTTCCGTCGTGAAATCAACGGATCTCATGGCGATTTCGCGAAACCGCACGTCCGGTGCAGGGCGCGGCAGGGGCAGTACCAGTATCCTGTGTCGTTCCGTGGTCCTCCAAGGGGGTTTCCTTGCGCTCGCCCTCAGCGCTCTTCGGTATGATTCGGGATGCGCGTATTCCGGGTGGTTGGTGAGCAGCACCTTATAGAACAAGGCTCTGACGTCCCGAACGTCGAACGTCGTCTCCTTCGATCCCCGTACCTTACCGGAATGTTCGAGTAAGGATCGCCTTTCCTTGCGCTCGCAACTGCCGCGGCTGATGCTGTCGCGAACGCGAATCGGATGCGATCGGGATTCGTGCAGCACAGTTCTCGGTACACGTACGCGGGGAGTCGGTGAGCCGTGAGAAATAAGCTCCCTTCCTCCTCGTGGTAACGAACGAGAGTGTCGGCATCCATCAATATCCACTGTTTCAGGCGGACTACCGATCGCAGAGCTCGGCGAGCTTGCTCGGTCGCCACGAATTCCAAAAGCTTGATATCCGAGTCGCCGTTCGTCAACGTGGGCAGGATATCGTCGTCGTCGTTGTCTTCAGCTTCGTTGGTCACGTCCTGTTCGATCACCCTCCACCCATCCCAACCGGTCTCGCTCAACCTGTCGCGAAGGGTTACCTCTCGGTTCCCTTCGTGACCTGAGACGAATCAAGAAGTATCTAACCTGATTGTCTTCATTTTGGCGGCTGCGGCATTCCTTGGATACGCTAATCTTCGTCTTCGTGTCCTTCTCCATGGCGAATTCTTTGTACGGTGTGCCACCCTTCGAAGGTTCGCTGTGATAATGAACTTGAAAACGCTACGTCATCCGTCCGAAGACCACTGGCGTACCCTCGACTTCACTGACGTGACGTCATGTGTTTTTTGAGCGATGACGTTGCGAGTGAGGGCGTTCGAGGCTTCGTCATCGATAACATCTCAAGCACTATTGGCTGAACGAGTTCTGGTACCCTTGACGTCACGAAAGTTCGATGACGTCTGCGAACTGTTTTAGCATATA